GAGACTAAAACAGGCTTGAGTGTCCTTCCATCATTACAGTCAGTTTTCCAGTCAGCTCCTGCAGTCTGGTTCATAAACCTCTCAATAAGAAAGACCTCCATCCTCCTGGAAGTGCTGAAACTCCAACTAGAGAAGAAACAAGTAGGCTGCTCACATGAAGAGAGTGAAGTGAGGAGTTTCCTGCAGTGTCTGCCTTATATCTCACAGCTCAGGTAAGTGAAACTAATGCTTAGTTACCAGGTGACTTTGAAAGCAATTTTTAATTTACAGTCTAATAATGTATTTAAGCATTTTTTTTGTTAATCTAATCTGAAGTCATCATAGCTAATAACACACATGTAATTAGACCCTCGTCCTTCTATTTTATCTGCCTTGGTTAATATTTAATCATAAAGTTCTTCACTCTTTTTCTACTTTACATGATTAGCTTTATATAAGAACAGATAGATTCTGGGTAAAAAGATATAACAACAACATTTTGAAACCTGTAAATCTAAATATTATTTAACTGTAGCCTGGCTAAATCAACCAGCCCAAAACACAGATTATCTTTGGGGTTCTTTTAATCTGAATTATAAAGTAAGCGTCCAGATGAAAGGTTGTAAAAACAAGGAAATAAAATTGCTACACACAGTTCTCATCAAGTAACAGCTGTGTGCACTGGTAACCCACTGCTACTGCAGGTAGTTGTCCCAACTTTTCAGAGTCTGGAACTCAAAGATGTCTAATGTCAATGTGTGACTGATATAAACCCGTCCAGAAACAAAACAAACTTAGCAGTGCAAAAATAACTCTAGTGGCTTCTCCTGCTAAATTACAGAGACCAAATTAAACAGTTAACCACAGTACATTTTCCCTCTTACAAATGAAACATTACAATACAGATGTGAACTCAAATACATACAGTGCATTAATCCAGCAGAAAAACGGAGTACAGCTCCCCCTGAGATGATTAGTGAAGTCAAACACAGCAACACCTGGTGCCTTAACTATTCCACCCTTTGCGCTTAAACAGACCATGCAGTGAAAACACAGCGTTGAACACCCATGTTACACCAATACAAGCTAGCACTTCTGTGAATGTCTCCGTAGATCCCCATCATCCCTTGCGCTCCCAGGGGTACCCCAAAAGAAACAGAGCCAGGCAGTGGCATGTCCCATAACACTGACCTTCCACCTGGCTACATTACTCTTTTAAATAATGATATATTTCACTGTCACCAATATTATATTTACCCACTGTGATTTCATCCACACAGGATTATATGTCAGTTAAATGTCAACTTTACTCCATTTCATACGGAAACGTGTTCACCGCTGTGTTGGACTTTGTCAGTTGTGTGTTGCTTTGAAGTCTAATGCTGTATTTTACATACATGTATGAGTTCATGAAACTGAGCTGTTATTATGGATTAAAGAACAACAACCAAATTACATACTGTTCTTTTCAGAGTGCTGATTTTGGTTGTTATTTTTTAGGTATAATGACTTTACAATCTCATTTATTTAGTAAAAAGTAAACTTACAGAGCACTGATTTAACGACAATAACTCAGTCATTATAAAATTCACGAAGAAAAGAAAATACTCCATGAAAAAACAGAATAAGTTCAAACTGGTATTTGTTATATGATATGTTATTGGCTTTTCATTGCTGCATATGTGTAAATATTTCTTCTTGTTGCTCCAGTGCTGATCCTGAGATGTCAGATGAAGAAGCAGTCAGGTTCTTTGGGAATCTGTTCTGTGCAGCAGCAGAGAGAGAACAGCAGACAGGAGAGAAGATACTGGAGCTGTTATCATCAGTGTGCACATATCAAACATTCCCGTTTAATGAGAGATACATGGATGATGACTATCAGTGTGATTTCCTGCTAAATCTGTACACCAATGTGAAGGACTGTGAGAATAAAACAGGCTTGAGTGTCCTTCCATCATTACAGTCAGTTTTCCAGTCAGCTCCTGCAGTCTGGTCCATAAACCTCTCAGAGAGAAAGACCTCCATCCTCCTGGAAGTGCTGAAACTCCAACCAGAGAAGAAACAAGTGGAGCTGACAGGCTGCTCACATGAAGAGAGTGAAGTGAGGAGTTTCCTGCAGTGTCTGCCTTATATCTCACAGCTCAGGTAAATGAACTAATGTTCTGGAAACAGCTTCACAGGAAGTCAAATCATGACTCTCTTGTTCTTCTAACACCATTTATCTGCTGTCCACTTTGAATCTTTGGTTCTTGGTGTTCATCATTTCTGCTCTTTTGTCTCTTTGATCTTCAGGCTTTCCATCGACATGTCCTTGCTCCTGTTTCAGTGGGTAAGAAGAGGCAGAGTGGTCTGTCCACTGGCTGTGGAAGAGCTTTCTCTTGTGCCTAAGAAAGCCCGACCATCACAGAGAGTGATGTTGAGGGCTGTCAGTAGTTTGGCTTCCCTGCTGAGATACTGGACAGTCGGACGGTTGGACCTGACTGAGAGCTGCATCCCTGCTCAGGGTCTGATTACACTGCTGCTCCATGATGGTCCTCTAACAGTCAAGTAAATGTCTTTCCTGAACATCACAGGCCAAATAAAATGTAGAGTTTTACTTTAAAGCTTGTTTTATATTTATGATCTCTGCAGACTGAGTGAAGAGAGCTTCCAGCAGCTTCTGTGTCTCCTCCATGAAATCCAGGACAAGGACTTGACGTTGTCCTTCTTCAGTAAGGTTGGTGGAGACCTGACCTCCTGCTGTCTGAACTGGGAGCTTCTTCACTATCTGCTGCAGCAGGCGTCAGCTCAGACCATCACTGTGAACCTGAGGAAGAACCTCTTCTTACAGGAGGAAACCACACGTCTGCTTCCCTTTCTGGACAGGATTGTGTTTAAAAGGTGCTGAATGTAGTTTGATCTTTTACCAAACACAGTTTCTGCTGTTTAATCAGGAGGATTTGAAATGCTGTCTCATCTTTAATCAGCAGTTTATGGATCCTTTAAACAAAGTTGGAAATAAACTGTTTGTTTTCAGGCCCAGTCCCAGCTTTGTGATGAGCTCCATCAGAGAGCTCTACAGAGCTCATGACAGTCACGCTGTACCCAGTTTACTGAGGTCACTTGGTCATGTGATCAACCTGAGCTGCAGAGAGCTGGACTCAGTGGACTGTGCTGCTCTGATCTTCATCCTCAAACACGGAGACAGAGTCAAACTGAACCTCCTGTGGACCTCCATACCAGCAGAGGGAGCAGAGTCCATCCTCTTCATGCTGGACAACGTTTCTCATCTCAGGTCAGATATTAGAGCTTGTTTCTCAGTGCTGTCCAACACAGAGTCATCAGCTGGTTCATTTCTGCATGTGTTTTCCTTGCAGTGTTGACAGGAATCAGCTGCTGAGGTTCATCCACTGCTGTGCTGCCTGTGACGTCCAGCAGGAGGCAGCGTCAGGCCTGCTGAGGACTCTGCAGCACAGCTTGGATCTGTCCTGCTCCTCCTGTGTGGAGCTACCAGAGGAGGATCAGCCTGAGCCTCTGAGTCTGACCGCTGATGACTGCAGGGCCGTCTCCACCATCCTGACACACAGCAGCCGGGACACACAGCTCGACCTGCGAGACTGTGAGGTGGAGGACAGCGTGCTGGACCTGCTGTTTCCTGTCCTCCACAGAGTCCGCCTCAGGTAGAAAGACCACAGAAGAGTCTAAACCAGAGAGAAGCTCGTTCATACTGGTGTTGATGCATCCTGACAGTTTCTCTTTGCTCTGTTTGTCCTGTTTAGAGTCAGTAAAACTGTCCTCCTCCAGCTGCTGTCTCTGGTTCCTGTGAACAGTGAGAGGGACACAGTGAGGCGGGCGGTGTCCCTGTGTAGAGCCCTGGGTGGAGAGCTGGATCTCAGTCACAGCACGCTGGATCAGAGGGTCTGTGGGGCTTTGGTCCAGATGCTGGACTCGTGTGAAGGGCTGACAGAGCTGGACCTCAGTCACTGTCAGCTCACTGACCAGCTGCTGCTCCCTCTCATCACACATCTGCACAAAGTCCAAGTCCTGGAGTGAGTGTCACACACTGATCCTTCTCTGGGAGGCACCAATAACCATCAGCCTGTTCACACACACTACAATAATATGATGTGCAGCGATGACTTAGAGCCACTTGTTGTGTTTGTGTTACAGTCTGAGTCACAATCAGATCACTGATGCTTCGACTGATGTGTTACTGCAGCTGCTCTCCATCAACCCCTCCATCGACTGTGTGCGGTGAGCCAACATGAATCAGTCTCCATCAGTGAAGGAGTTTCTCCTCAGACTCTCAGAGGAATCATTCACAGTCTGAGCTCACATGGATTCATGTTGTTCTGAGTGAATGAGTGACGTCTGCTCTCTCTGCTTTGGTCTCTTTCTAGACTCTACAGCAACAACATCGTGCACAGAGCAGCCTTCAAGGAACACAAGCAGTTTGAGATCTGGTGAAGCACTCGTCACCATCATCATCATCATCATGAACATCATCATTATCTGGGATTCACTGGTTTCCTCTGTTCTTGTCATCATTACATGAAAATAGTGGGTGGAGTGGGAGCACTGATACTGTGTTCATGGACTCAGTGTAATGTTGTAGTGTACGACACATTGACATTAGATCAGATGGGTTTTGAAGACCATCTTAATTTTTTTTCTTTTTTCTACAATGACTTGAAGACAGTTTATATGGAGACAACGAGCAGCCAACAGTGTTTGTTTCAATTACCCACTGTTGCTTTTGTTTCTGAGCTACTGCAGATTTTTCTTTGATGAAGGTCAGATGTCTAACTGGTCATGTGATGATGTAACAGTCCTGGGTCTTGAACCCACAATTTTGAGTTTTGCATTCTCGGTCTAATCTTTTGGATTTCAAGTCTTTATTTCCCCATGCAGTTACTTCCTGTTTTATTTTGATAGTCATTTGTCTGTGTTCCTTTTGTTTGCTTGTCCTGATTGGTTTCAGCTGTGTCTCATTCCCTTAATCTGCCCACTTTTATATTTACCTGTTAAACCTGAGAGTCCTGCATACTGGCCTTGCTGAAACTTGCCAGATGATCATCTTGATGTTTACACATCTGATATTTCTGTAATAATTGTGATTCTGTTATTTTATTATTGAGACAAAACACAGAAGCCATCACCATTTATCAGTGCAGTGAGTCGGTCATATTTATTATTTGTACTTTTGTGATAATGGTATTTATTCTGGTCTACATGCTTCAACAGGACAAAGTAGAGAGACTCTATAATGATGTCTCAGATTAACGATGCAATAAGTGAGCAATCAGGATAAAACCGTGTTTGGTACTTTAACATAACTGGAAGAAATGATCATAAACATGTAAATCATTTTTAGTTTGTATTTCATGTTAAGAGATACATGTGATAATGATCATTTTCTGTCCTCTTTCTGTCTCATTTATAATGAGGGGTGGCTGTAGCTCGGGGTAGAGCAGGTCAACTACTAATATAAAGGTTGCTGGTTTGATCCCTGGCTGCTCCAGCCTGCATGTCAGATGTCCTCAGGCAAAATGCTAACCCCAAGTTAAGCACAGAGAAAGTACCTGTATGAATGTGTGGATGAGGCATGTTGTGTAAAGTGCTTTGAGTGCTCCAGGAGCCCGTTCTTCGTACCTCGCTAAGTAAGTTAGCTGGATTTGATTGTTGACGATTTCGCGTGATCTTGGATCGTTCGGTTCCCCGAAGCTCATCCGGGACTTGCTGTCATAGCAACAGAGCCGTAAGCGTAAACCTGCTCGGGAGCAGGTTTACTTTATGTAAACAGGATTAGATCGCGGCCACGCAGGTATGTCCGCTTCATTTATACGAAAGCAACAGCGATATTTTACCACTGTTTCACCATAAATAAATAACATCAATGTAACTAAAGATAATGCAGCACTTGATCCTTTTATTGATTTCACACAGATACATACAGGTCATTTCCTAAAAAAGGGAAATGTACTATTAACATTCTATTACATGTATGTGATTATTACAGATGTAATTCATATTTCAGAGTAGTAATTGTAAATTACTTCGTGTAATCAAGATGAGAGACCACGGCTATAAAAGCGAAGGTGGATTTGGGAAGCCTGTCGCAGCCATGTCCTGTCCGTTTACGCGAGCAGCCCATTGCGGAAGGTGCAAGATTGATAAGGAGAGTCCTCAGAATTCAGCGTATATTGCGGGACAGACAGGATCCTTTAGCTCAGCGCGACAGTGTGCTCATAGAGAGATATCGATATTCCCGTGAGGGTATTATTTACTTAACCAACTTGTTGACGAGGGGGTGCAGGACCACCACCTGTCTTTTTTTGCTCTGCCCTTTTCTTGGTTGCTGTTATAAACAAACAAACAGATTATTTCAGGGTCTCTTTCCAAGAGACTAAAAGCAATATAAGTGATAAATATTACCATTCTGTAGAATATTCTTATATTTCACTTTTACTTGTTCCCATGTTCTAGTGGGTCCTGTCGTGGCTCTAATGTGAAAGAGGATATAATGTAATATAATAAATATTTACCCTACCGCCTACTGGTGTTGGCCAGAGGGGCCGATGGCGCGATATGGCAGCCTCGGCTTCTGTCAGTCTGCCCCAGGGCAGCTGTGGCTACAACCGTAGCTGCCTCCACCAGTGTGTGAATGTGAGAGTGAATGAATAGTGGCTTGAAAAGCGCTATATAAATCCAATCCATTATTATTGTTATTATTAAATTACTTACGAGTTTAATTTGTCAGCAACTTTCTGCCAGCCCTCTCTCCTTGCTTTTGCAGCCTTTGCAGTGTTCCCTTGCGTTTTAATTAAACTCTGAAACTCCTGAAATCCCTCAATCAAGAGTTCTTGCTCTGCTGCCGAAAAATACCGAGCGCGCTCCTTCGACATTTTCGCCGACCAATCAGAGGGTTGCCGATCAATGTTTCTACTATCGATGCGTAGCCCCTGTTAAGCCACCCAGTGATCTCACATTACTTCATCCAGCTATACTAGAGGTGGGAATCACCATACATCCCACGATACGATATTATCACAATACTTAACGCACGATACGATATTATTGCAATTTTTTAAAAATATTTTGCGATATTCAGATTCTGTACATAAAGGTAAACTTTATCAATATTCATTTTATCTAATATCAAAGTCTCACACTCAGTCTTTCTCTCATTTCAGTCAGTTTTATTGTTGACAAACTGAACGGTTTGTATTACAGTCTAGTCCAACTTAACTGAATGCAACCATCTGGTACAATTATATTGTATATTGTATATTATATGATATTACAATTAAATTAAAATAAGTAAACTGTCATGTTTATTGCTGCCAAAAAACAGTTAAACACATTTGGACAGTGAAGGAATGTCAGGATTCTTGCTCAGAAAAAGGATCAACATGCTCTGAAGTCAGAGCACAAAAACCTTTTTTGTAACAAAATATCGATTTCTGCTGTCCCTGTATCGATACATTATTAGCAAACAAAATATCACGATACTACACAGTATCGATTTTTTCCCCCACCCCTAAGCTATACTAATCATCAACAGCAGGTGTGTTCGGAGAACCGGAATAGCGAGCTCAAAGTTGGCGCGATGATTTGACCTTGGATGTAGTAAGCGACGTACGAAGAACGGCCCCAGGAGTATACAAAAACACTGTGCAAGAATTTATCCTTTAATGTATTTCAGGTTTTTAAATGTAACTTTTTTTTACCATATTAATGTAGAGCTTCATATAGACTGGGGGAATAAATAATAAAAGTTTGGATGTCTGTAATCGACGTGATTCTGTTTCAGTGATTTTAGTTATAGAAAGTCAGTCATTATACAGTATCTGTAATTCGGGAAATTTGTACAGAAACAAAATGCCAGCTTGAGAGGGATGGGGAGATTGTATCATTCAGGAAATACTTAACGAGTATGTCAGTCTCATTTAGATAAAAGATCCAGCAGACTCGGATGTGTCAGTACAGCTGACACAGTCGCACAGAGGAACCAGGATCACACCACATCATTTTCTCTTTGACAGTGTAACATCAGAGCATTACGCTTTTGGATTGTTTGACCACACATACCAAAGGGCACCAACAGGAAAGACCCTAATTTACCTTTAAGCCCCCTGTACAGGTAGAATTTTTCACTTTTACTGTTACTTTAGTCTTCTTGCTATACTTTAAATAACTTTTCAGTTCTATATTTTTTAGAACCTTTGTTTACAATCATTTATTTGCATTACACTGATGCCATGTAACCAACACAGCATATTGCATGTCAGGCTCAAAGGTTAACATTCTGGAAAATTATTCAAAGACCTGAAGTGAAACAAACCTGATTTCATGGCAGAATCATAACTAATGCTCTTTGTAAGCTGATTTCAGCCCCTAAACAGTGGCCGAAGGAAAGAATCTGCAGAATAATGTGGACACATGTTAGAAGTTTCCTGTCGAGTGTACAAACACTAACACCTCACCCACACAGTAAAGTGTGTAGCTAGAAAGAGTGATATTAGTCTATATCCCTGTCTCAGACTTAAAAACACTGTGACGTTTTGCTGGCCTTTACTGCCACGTTCTACTTAAGTAAACACAGAATCTCACATTTTCTCCCTTTCCCTCAAACACACATTTTAAGTGCAAAAATAATTTATGGCAATAATCAGTAATATAAATAGCATCATTGCAGCCCTTGGTGAGCACCATGGACAGCAACCACAGTCAGTTTATACTATAACCTCACATTATCTTCTTCAACCAGACTCACAAGGCAGAAACAGATCCAGGCATGCTAGGATAACACAAAGACAACTTTATTGTCATTAAGTCCATTAACCACAGGTCCTCAAAGCCTCACTGGATGTACCAACAACCAAACTCTTTTATAGAGATCCTCATTCAGCAATCGTTTCTAATGGATGTGCTTCTAGATCTATCACACACACATTACATTATGAGCACATATTTTCCAGATTTAGGTGGTAACAATATTTCAGTCCATAACAAAATCACAAACCATTCAACCATCAGAACTTTGTCCTTGTGCTACTGTCAGGTTTCCTGGGTCCAGCGTTTTCAGTTTTCTCATGTTCAATTTATTTCCCACATCCAGTTTTCTCGTTTTCTGTGCCAGCGTACCGCCTGTGTATTGTGTTCCAGTTATTTCCATGTATCATTAGTCAGACTAAGTTCAGCTGCGTACTCACCGGTTTCTAAACATTCATCACCCAGCCTGTATTTAAGTCCTCAGTTCCATCCGTTCATCTTCGTGTCATTGATGTTGATCTCACGTCTGCATTCCGTTGTTCAGCCAGCCGTTCAGTCTTTCAGTCAGTCAGTCAGTCCTGCCGTCCCTGCTCTGTTCACTCACTCGCTCTAATAAATCATCATCATTCTGCACCGTGAGTCCTGCGTTTGGTCCGTCTCTTCCTCGCCTCCGTACACGACAACCCCTGACAGAATGACACGACCCGTGCCACGAAGACACGCGTATGACCCAGCGGACTCGGACCTATTCGAGCGGCAGGACGCAGCCCTCTCCATTTGGGCGGAGAAGCTCAGGTGGAAACAGCGGCTCTGCTCAGAGAGGGAGCACGTCTTTGAATCAGAATCAGAATACTTTATTCATCCCGAGGGAACTCGTCTGGCTCTGGGCGGGCCTCGGAGACCCCGCGGTCCTCCACCTGCTGCCTCACCTACATCGGAGCATTCGCCGCGGAGAGTGGGCGTCAAAGGCCAAGCTTCGCCCGCTCGCTCTCCCGCCGCCCCGCTCCTCGCTCGCAAGCCAGCTGTTTTATTCTCCGGCTCTTCCACTTCACCATGCCCAGCGACTCCGCCTCCCACCTCGGCTCAGCGGAGGCTCTCCCGCTCGGCCGCTCAGCTGTGTCCGCTAGGGAGCAGCTAGGCTCACGCCGCCGTCGCTCTTCCCGTTTGGAGCAGCAATATCCGTCCATGAGCGAAATGGACTTTTTTTTTTCTTTTACCTCACCCAAAGACTGTTCACCATCCACCCAATCAAAAGACTGTAAATGCTGACACAAATATCCATTGTCAATTTATTTTACTCAGTCTTACTTTCTACTGAATTTTTTTTTTTTGGCAACCTTCAGTATCTTTATTTCTATAATAGTTGTCGTCATCATGTATTTGTTTATTAATTTACTTTGAACCTAATTCACAATTGTGTGTATCTTTTTCCTCTTCATTTATTCATGAACACATTTTCAGACAGTTTTTTTTTTTCACCCATGTTTGGCGACCACCGCCGCCCTCTGGTGGTCAAAGTGCGAAACCACATGCTGTTGCCAGAAACATAGAGGGTTTTTTTGTTTTTGTTTTTTGTTTGTTTTGTTTTAAATTACAAAACAAACAGAAAAGCATTTTTAATTTTTATTTATTTCCAGCTTGTACCCAATAGTTGGCATGAAGCCTACTTTATTTGATGCTAACATAAATGAGCTGTGTTTATCTGGATATCAGCTGTGTAAACTTTACTGACCTGCTACAACGAATAACCAGAATGAGAGGCAAGCTAAAGCAAATTACTTCTGTTAATATACTTTATTGATGATGGTGATGAAGTTTTGTCACTTGCAGTTGCCTGCAGCAAAACTGGACCCATTCCAACCACACATACATTTATGCTGTCTGTCTTTGCATTGTCTCCTTATAGTCTTCTGTTAGCTTACCAGAAATTTTCCAGGTCATCTGTAACTCCACTGAGCGCATTTAGAATCAGGTGGTTTGATCTTTTTAATCACATCTTCATTTGACATTACAAATAAACTGACAGGAGTGGAGAAATGTCTCACTCTTCCACCATGAGCTCTGAAATCTCTGCAGCATGCTGCAGGTGCTTTTTTTCAGTGAGAAATATTAGCACAATTGGCAGTGAAGTAAATCAGTCTGATCACTTGATTTTAATATTCCAATTCTTTTAATTTAACGCACCATCAGTTGTGTTTGAGGGATCAGAACAATAAACCCTGAAAGACAGCCTCTCCAGATGACACTTTCAGCTCAATTAGCTGCAGACTAGGAATTTGTAGACTTAAAGATAAGAAGCACTTTAAGCTTTTCTAAGAAGGCGTCCAAACATGTCAAACATAATGTAGCTGGAAGTGAAAAGTAAAAAAAAAAAATGCCCATGAGAAAAGTGATCTGGAAAGAGTGTGTCTTAAAAAACAGCTTATGATCAAATAGATATTAAGGTCAACTTTTGATATCTTTTCACATGAAAAATTAAACAACACAGAAAAATTAATTCAGTCACATCAGCGATTATGTAGGATATCAGTATTATATAAGTATTATATAAATTAAATTAATTAAAAAATCATTTCCCCCAGGGATCAATAAAGTATTCTGATTCTGATATATATATATCCTGTAGACAGTACCTGTTATTGGTTTATAAATGTATTTTTATCCATAATTGAATAATTGTGTGTCTTTTGTCTTTCCTTTAAACATTTAACAAACATTTTTTTAAGACTTTACAGTAAGTTTTATAATCAGTATGTTTGATATATGCCGCCCTCTGGTGGTCACAACGCGTAACCACATTGGGGCCTTTTATTTTGAAGTGTCAGACCGGATGTTATTTCCATATGTAATTTCTCTAGTTTGATTATACACATGCAGTTGTCCATTAGAGCAGCGGTCCCCAACCCCGGCCTCGGACCGGTATCGGGCCGCGAGAGTTGAGGCTCAGGTGTGAAATGTGTAGTTTTCAGGGTTTTTATCGGTTTTCAGCGTTATTTTGTTATAGTTTACTCTGTTTTCCTGGGTCTTTTCACGTGTGTTATGAATAAATTTTCTTTTTTTCGGTACCGGTACTAGTTTTATTTTGTTGTATTTATCCGCGACACTTTAAAGGCCGGTCCATGAAAATTGTCGGGCATAAACCGGTCCGTGGCGCAAAAAAGGTTGGGGACCGATGGACTAGAGGGCAGGGAAAATCCTGTAGTTTATGATCCACGGACATAAAGTCAAAGAGGATACAGCGGTGTGGTTCACGTGATCAGCGGCTGTTTTACTCTTTAAACTTTACTAACACTTCTACAGAAAGTAATCTGAGGTAGCATTGAAGCTAGCTAGTGGTAGTTACAACTCAGCTTCAAATGTCATCCTACTGTCTTCGGGTTAGCTTGTGCCAGTTAGCGAGAGCTAGCTTAGACGGCTGAAAGAAAAATCTTTTCACACATTAACATCTTCAGCCCATCGTCACACATTAATGTTTAAAACAGTATCAGACAAAGCCAAGCTGTAGTACTTTGGTCGAAAACAATAACCTTCACTAAAATCGCTAACAGGAAGTAGTGTTTGTGTTGTTTTTCTAAACCTTTACTGTTTTTGTAGTTCCTACTTCTCCCGCTCGAGGGCCGTTGTTCTCATAATGATCTTATTACCAGATCCGATGAAGTAACAATGAGTTTCTTTCTGTTTTTTAATAGCAGTATATTTTTTATGTTGTTAAACAGGCTGTATACAACATTATTTATGATGAGGTTAAATATAAAATAAATAAATGTTCTCACAAACCTGAATAAAGTGATGTGTCACATTCAGATCAAACATGTCTTAAAGACCCCTCAGCTGTCCTATAAAAACACCTGCACCTCCTGCAGCATGAGCCAAACAGCGTTCACCAAAGAGCAGACAGATCTTTGTTGCCATGAAAACCTCTCAGACATAAAGGTTTCTTCATCCTGTTTTAACAGAAGACATGAATACTGAAACACCGAATAGAGTGTCGATGGTACTACATACGGTGTGTATGTGAGCGAGTGCTGACAAATGTGCATTATTCTACCAAGTCCAGCAGTAAATATTTGTAGGGAAAACAAATTGAGCCACCCTAACAGGAAAAAGGATTCCTTCATGCATTAACATAATTTAATGCATGCAGGTCACCTCTGGCTCTATAACAGCTGCTGATGTTCAGAACTGTCCTGGGTGCCCTTTAGAGGAACCAGAGGAGAACTAAAAAAACAAACAAAAAACTAAATCACAGCACACACCACTCACACCTACTGTCCCATAAAAATATTCATAAGAGAACTCTGTCCCCTCAGAGGAAGCTGCCTCTGATCTCTGAACAGGTTGTGTCTTTTAGTCCACAGACTTTCACGTGCTGACGTGTCATCAGCTGAGACGCCAAATCCAAATTTCATCCTGATGCCGGGCGAGCAGCTCACGTGGCTGTGTGTGAGAGGGTGAACCATGAAGTGATTTCATAGCTGTTGAGGTACAAGGTGTCACACAGAGAGGAAGGCTGTGCTCTGCTTTGTGATCTTTGAGTTCTGGTCCTGGTTCTTGCTGATGCGGTAGAAGTGCTGGATGCACCCGGACCGAACCAGCAGCTGCACAAAGTCCTCGTCATGAGTGATGATCAGCAGCTGGAAGTGACGCTGCTGAGAGCGAGTCCTGATGATCCTGGAGAGGACAGAGGAGACAGAGAAGTGGAGAGGATTCAAGAAGCAGCCTGAATAATGCAACAGATGAAGCTACGACTCTGTAAGGTCTGGAGTGTGTTTAATCTTTGAGATCTTTCATCCATTTATTATAAGTTTGTACTTTGAAGCTGTGAGCTTTTATTTACACCGTCTGCTTTAGGGAAAGTCACAAAGTCAGAGGTTCGGCTTTAGGCTGAACAAACATCAGGTTTCTCTGGGTAACACATCGTTTGCATGCACTGACTCTACGAGAGCGTCTGCCAGGGACTCGATGTTCTCCCGGTCCAGGTTGGTGGTGGGCTCATCCAGGGCCAGGATTCCACAGTCAAGACAGAAGGCCTCTGCCAGAGCGAGCCGGATGATCAGGGATGCCAGCACCTAAACACACACAGGATCAATCCATCCAACTAAACAAGAGTTTAAGTGACGGAGGCGCTGACACAGAAAATCTTTTAAATACCTTCTGACCGGCACTGCAGCGCCCTCTCATATTCACGTCTGCGTCTCCTCTCATCATCACTACTCTGTAGTTGTAGCTCCTCCGCCTCTCCGACCTCTCCTCCACCTCAGACCTGATCTCGATGTACTCGATATCTGCAGAGGAGACACGAGGTGAAGACCAAACACTCACATTTACCCACTGAGCAGTTTTCTGGTGATCAGACGTGTAAAATGTGTCTGAGACGTCTGGATCACACTCTGCTGTAGTTTCATAGATACAAGCACGTCTTCGATCACTGAGCTGATTTTTGTCTGAGGGGGTCAGTGAGATGCACCTTGACCCCTGTAGGTGCTGTGCCACAGGTCTCTGATGTTCTGGTTGATCTCATCCATCTTCATGCTGTGGAACTTCACGATGGCTCTGTGGAAGCAACAGAGAAACAGAAACTCTGGTGACCTTCACATGGTTTCTGTCCCACACTGATGATCAAGCGACGACCTGCGGTAAACTTACTGATCTAGAGCCTCTTCGTAGAGTTTCAGGTCTTTGCTGAGCAGCTGTGTGGTTCTCATCTCAATCATCTTGTTTCTGTGGAGCTCCTCGGCTTTGCCGTACTGATCTTCCTCCAGCTGTTTGCTGCAATCAAAGGTTCAGATCAGAGATGAGTGAAAGTGAGTGAAGGGCTCTTGTTTCATGTGCTCATGTGAACTTTCAGGGAGAATCAGGGAATTTCTCAGCTCTGTCCAGGCTCCACACTCAGCGTGGAAGGAAGAGTTTTTCTAGTGTTTTGCACACGTTTCACATGTGATGTTGAATACTGAAAATTGTCGCCTTTATTGTGTGAATCATGTCGTATAACCCTGAGATACCCGAAGTACTCTGGGTTACAGCGATGAATTATGGGAAATGTGTTTAACCTTCCTGTCGTGTTTACAAATTAAAAAACTCATAAATATTGTGTTTTACATCCGATTGCCTGGAGGCCCTATGACATCCTCCACACTATGCACTTAAACATATAAAAGTGATGAGCACCTCTTTCATTGGTGTTTTAATCAACTTTGTTACATCTGTGGTGTTCCCGGTCAAAAGCCCACCATAGAAAATGAATGGGAATCTACCCCCCCCATGTTGGCCTCTGACCCCCTGAATGGGCCACTGAATGACAAAATGAACGACCCATTGACCCACCCACTGAACTGAATTTGGTGGTGAAGAATGTTTCTTATGTCAATTTAAGAGCGGTTAAAACTGACCAGTCAATTTTGACTGGGAACACTAAAGTAAGGGGGGGTGAACACAACCAGAGGGTTAAGTCATGAGCACAAAGTCAAAGGAATTTTATTGATATCATTGTGGTTTTAACATCGATCACTGAAATGATCTTATTTTAGGTACAGGCCTGTGCAAAAGTCTTGAGCCACTGTCCAAAGAAACACTCTGAAAGACCTTAAGGTCACTGTTGCTCCAGAGCACGTTAACACATTACACAAGCTTTGCTCCTTAGAAGTAAAATATAAAGAAATGACAGGTGGCTCAAGACTTTTGCACAGTGCTGTATGTCTGTGTCAAAGTAGAAGTGATTGCTTAGCAGAAAATGTGACTGGGTATGAAAATAAGTGGGCAGACAGAGTAAATGTGGAGCAGAAGGTGGTGGATCGCAGCCAGTACACAACCTCGCAGTAAACACTCAGGAAAGGTGCTTCAGTGCTTCCTTTGTTTAAACAGAAACATCAAATCCCGTTTATCCAGCAGCGATCATCACGTTACCTCTTTGAATTTGTCTCTTCCCTCATCAACATATTTAGTGACGTCTCTTTGCAAAGCAGTGATTTCCTTCAGTCTCTCCTCAGTGTTACGAATCTGTCAGTAACAGTTACAGCAGTTACTTCATAAACAATCACAACTCTGTTTGATAGAAATGCTCTAAGAACATTGCACACATGATGTTATGTTAAACACGGTTCTACGTGCAAATGTATTTTATAACTGTGTGTTATTTGAACTGTGTTGATTCATTGGTTTTGGTTACGAGCAAAGGAACCTGACAATGTGCAGCAGATAGAAAGAAGGACACGTTCCCACTAAAAGAGCATGTATGCATCCACCTTCTTCTGCTCTTCTTCCTCTCTCTGCTTCTTCTGCTCCACCAGCTTTTGCTTTTCCTGCTGCAGCTTCTCCAGAGCAGCTGATAGAGGGCGCAGTTCTTCATTTCCCTCCTGTTCGACCACAAAGTCAGAGGAAAAAATCCAACGTTAAATATTTGTTTCCACTTACAGAGAAATAAAAATAGGTAAATGAATAATAATAATAAATAAATAAACAGCACCCTGATCTCTGTGGTTAAGGCCTCCATCCTAGCAGCGATCTCTGCACTCAGCTCCTCCAGGTGCTGCTGCTTCTGTTTGTCTCTGATCAGCTGAAGCTGCTCGTCTCTCATCTCTATCGCTGCACTTTTCAGCCTCTGAATCTGCTCCTGCTGGTCCTGGATCTGTTTATGTTTACGCACAATTGTGCTGTAAGCTGCAAGGACACAAAAGGCCAAAGGAAAGGAAATCATGCTGCAATGCAGAGATGCAGATATGAAAGATATGAAGTAAGTCCACAGTTTGTAAAAACTGTCGTGGGTTTCATGGGAGAAATCAAGGGTCGGAGTTAAAATCAGGGCTGGAAACAGAGCTGGTTGTCTTACTGGTGTCGAGCTGGTCCTGAGTTTCATGTTTGTCCTGACTGAGCTGCTGAAATGTGTTGTCCAGGTTTACTTCCTGGAGTTTGGATGCCTGCTGATCAATTTTCCTTTCCACCTCTTCAAGGTTTCTCTACAGAGAAGGAAATCCAGATCTCATCACTTTTTATGTACTTTCTAAACTTGATTCTTTGTCATGAAAACAGCACAGATGTGTGCAGGTCCTGGCTGTGTCTGGCACATGTGGTGAGAAAGAATGAGACAGACAAATGTTTGGTACCAGGTATGAGTCCATGGAGGAAATGCCCTGCAGGCAGTCTTTGGCTTTTTCCTCCTCAGACCTCAGGATGGCGAGCAGAGCCTCCTGCTCCTCCACATCACCCTTCAGCCTCTCAGCTTCTCTGTCCACAGTCTGCAGCCGCTTCCTCAATGCTGGCAGCTCATTTTCCTGAAACTGCACAATGGCCTCCCTGACGAGACATAAAAGAGAAAAATCAATGAATCGACAGTCGATTCTTCGTTTTTATCTCTAACAAAGAAATGAGGACAGACTGGACTGTTGGTTTGACACAAACGTCTCTGACACTGTACCTCACAGGCCTGAGAGCCACTATCTCCTCTCTCCTCCTCTCTGTCCTCTCCAGGTCCTGCTCAGTGATCTTCAGTTTCTCTGGCACCAGGTGTAGTTTAGACTGCAAGACTCTGACGACTTCCTGCACCTCAGACTCTGAGGGAAACGATCGTCGGCACACGGGGCAGCAGGGCTCCCTGTGCTCGCTCAGCTCGCTGATGAACTGGGTGTACACCACTTTAGTTCCAGCTAGTAGAGCTAAACCAGGACAGAAGCAGAAAGAAGGACACAGGAATCATGATTATTCATATGGATACTACATTAGGAGGCTTAAAGAAGCAGTTCTCTTCTAAATGGTGCTTGTCCTGTGGTGCTCAGAGCTTCATATAAATAATAATAATTTAGAAGCAGTGTCTCACGACAAAAAAACAAACATTTTTGTGAGCAAGTAGAAACTATTTTCTTTCAACTCTCTGACTACCTCTGCAGAAGGAAGCGTGCATCAACTGTGACCAGAGCTTCTGACAGCGTGACAGGATGTAAACGTTCATGCTGCACCTCCCAGACGACCTAATGTCACATAGCTGCAGTATTCTTTTGGTTGGTGGATGAAGACAGTAGTAAGAAAATAGGTCCCACGTAAAACTGATCGCAAGGTCCAAAGAAGCTACCACTCTTCCTGTTTGAGACCATTTACCTTTTGTCTTGAATATCTCGTCCAGCTCTCTCTGCAGGTTGCTCAGGTCCTGCTCCAGATCTCGACTGCTGCAAACATTCAAGAACTTCTCTTCATCTGTGGCTAACTGCAGCTCCTTCTTCAGCAGCTCAGCAGTAATGTGGCTTTTATTCTGCTCATTTGATGCCAAGTCCATTCTGAGATGAAAACCACAATGTAACAGTGGTGAGTGTCGGGAAAAGATCCATCTTAAAAGCATTGTTTTCTACTTAAATGTTACTAACTTGAGCTTTGTAAGTCTGTCCCCGGTGCTGCTGGTTTCCTTTGACTTGGAAGAGACCCAGTCCTCCAGCTCTTTCTTGTTTGGAAAGTGGCCCAATAGAGACACCAGATCCTCACAGTGACGAGACCGGATCTGAAGAATCTGCTCCTCCATCTCGGCCTGGAGGACAGAAAGAGGAAAGATGAGAGGGGAGAAGGGAAAGAAGGGAGATGATCAGTAAGAGAAGTAGAAAAGCAGCAGCAAGTGAGTTTAGGTTCCTCATTACTTTGCCCTTTTTCAGTATGTCCATCTGTGTGAGTGCAGCTGTGTGCATGTTGAGTGTCTCCATCTCTTCGTCGAGCTGTCTCTGTGTGCAGTCGAGTTCAGCCTTTTCTTCCTGGAGCTCCTCGACCTCGGCCTTCAGCTCCTCCACGCTGGAGCTCTGAACTGCATCCTCACGCTCCTGAAGAGAAACACACACAAAACACAATCTATGATATAAGAACATGAAAGAGGCTCAAGAGGAGACAAGTGTCAGACAAAGAAGGACGCTTTTGAACTGTGATTCATACAAAGCAGCTGTAACAGAGTCAGTGGTTAAATACATCAAGCTGTAAAAGAGTAGGATCAATGTAGTGTAAGAGACACACATGATATATCCAGTCTCTGATCCAGAAAAAGAGAATATCAAAGAAATCCACCTGTGATGATTTCACAACCTCAAAAACATCATGATCCGTGTGTGTGTGCATTCTCACCACTTCAGCCAGTTTATTTTCCAGCTCTTGCAGTCGACTACATGAATCCTGCAGTCGTTGCAGCTCTTCTGTGATGTTTTTCAGCTCTTGCTGCTTCTTTTGCCGCTCGTCTCTTTTCATCTCTACCGTTCTCTCCATGTACGTCTTCCTGTCCCTCATTTCATCAACAGACTGCTGCTTCTGCTGCTCCAGTTTCTGCAGCTCTGCCTGATCGAACCAAATATTAAGAGGAGGAAGAAGAGAAGTGAAGAGCACAAATATCTCATATATGATTGTTCAGATGACTTTTTTGCAGGCATCTCTAGCTAACGTGTATTTTATCTTGGAATTTTGTTTTCAGTTAAATTAAAATTTTATCACACCAGATCACAAAAAAAGTTATCTCAAGGCAGTTTATAATGTAAAGTAAAGACCTTACAATAATACCGAGAACCAGAGAAAACAGATCGGATGATCCCCCTATGAGCAAACACATTGGTGACAGCGGGAAGGGAAAACTCCTTTATAACAGGAAGAAATCTGCTGAAGAACCAGGCTCAGGGAGGGGCAGCAATATGCCATGACTGGTTGGACATTATTTTATCTGTGAAAAATTACACACAAATACTGACAAAAACTGAGAGTGACAGAGCATTTCTTACCAAGAGCTGACTGACTCTCTCCTTTTCCTGCTCCAGCCTGTGTGTGACTTGATGGTAAAAGCTCTCGAGTTGAGAAACGGTAAAGGGCAGCTGGTCGTAACCCTCCATCTCCAGACAGGATGACAAAGAGTGGATCTGTGACACAGATGACATGTGAATAAATAAAAGAGTCATTGTGTACTTGTATTAATCCACATGCATATTTAATGTCACTGCTGGCTCTGAGTGATTAAGTCCACCTTAGTGTATTTACAGACTCCACAGAAACAGCTCGATGTCTGCTTTATCCTGACAGAAACAAACAAGTTAAGAAAGAAGAGGTTTTCTTTCTTCTTACCAGGCTGTCGCGGTCCTCGGTGTTCTTAGTGTGACGTTCAGCTTCATGTTGTAGACGAACTGTGGGAAAAAAAAGTTGCTAATTCTGTACTGAGGAAACACAGCATCCACCCTGTGCATTATTCTACTTCTAGTATTTTTTATTCTGTCAGTGTACTGAGCGATATATTTACTGTGAAAACATGTCACGACAACAAGACACGACTTAACGAATGACTCGTTACACATATGGTGATAAGTACATGATCTGATAGGACTGTGCTGATGTTGTTTCTTATCAGTGTTGTTCCAGGACCATCATTACTGACCAATCACACGTTTGTGATGTAAGTGTTGGGAGATGTTTGCTGTCAGGGCTCTTCACCAGTTCATGATTAGTTCATGGTTAACATCGTAAAGGCTCAATTTCAGTGGAAACCTTTTGCTTAAACTGACCCACTACAGAGTTTTTCATGCAGTATGATAAATATTGCACACAGACAAGAATCAGCAGCTATGAGACCAGAAAACAGAGATTTTTAGATGGGAAACTATACCTGAGAGAGAGAGCTATGCATGAAGTGTCATTTTACCGTGGTGGAAGCAAAACAGCAAGAGGGAATTCATGATGATGTTTATGTAAAGCGAAATGTGAAGCATAGTTTGGATCTTTTGCTGCTGGCTCAGTCAAATTTGGTTGGAGAGAGACAAAACCTGCAGCTTCATAATCAAGCGCAAAAAAAAAAAGACGGAAACACAAAGCGTGGCCCCGCCAACGCATCAGAATCTGTGAGATGTCAGCTTTCTCATCCAATGGCGTGTCCGTGTACGTGCCATCAGTGAGAAAGCGGGCATCTCACAGATTCTGAAGCGTCGGCGGGGCCACGCTTTGTGTTTACATCTTTGTGCAGAATCCGTGTATCTGCTCTCATTTACTGTTTTAGCGTTTCGGGCAAAATAAATGTATATATAAAAATTGATTCAGGATTTTAATGAATCGACATCGCGTTATTCAAGCTAGAATTGATTTTAATCAGAAAATTGATAATCAAAACCCACTCCTACTTTTCATACTCAGGTGTGGAGGAAAATGTCAGGAGCTACTCTGGTATATGCAGGTGAGTGAACCTTTTTCTACCAGCAGATCATTCGTTTCTCTGGTCAGTCTCTGGTATTCTTGGTCAAAGGTCTGCAGCTCCTCCTGGTGCTGTTGCAGCTTCTGCTCCTTCTCCATCACTGTCCTCTGGTGGTTATCGTAAGTATGCTGTAGCTGCTCGTCTGAACCCTGAAACACCTGAAACACACAGACAAAGGTCAATGGATTGGAATTGTTCTACAGTTAAATGAATGGGTCTTGAGGTCTGACTCCAGTGGAAACTGCAGTGATGAAAATGTCAAAGAAGTGATCAAGAACTTCCAGAAATGGCCCTGGGAGCCTCAGAAACCTAACTTAATTTAAATTTGGTCATTCTTGTTTAAGATTGATCCCACAAAGGAGCACAAAAACCAAACTAAAATAAGCATGACTGCTTTTTAGGTTGATCCCTGGAAATCTTGTTATCCTCTATGGCTCTGTCATGTATTTTGGATCTCTTCCGTTGTGTCAGCTTATTTTCCCTTTCAGGAGGTGGAGGAAGTCACAGGGAAGAAAAACCAACGAGTACATCAGGTACTGAGCAAAGATTTTGGACCTGACAGAAAATCACAAAGATCTAACACTCATGAATCTTTGATCGATTAGTTTCTCTTTCAAGATCATGAAACTTCATCCAAAGTGCAGTATCTTTCAAAGTTTTGTAACTAAAAAATAAAACATCTCATATTTGTTCAGACATTTTTCACACATTGTGTTACCTCTTCCATAGTTTCCTCCAGCTCCTTGTTGTGCTCCTCCATCTGTTTCCTCAAGCTGTCCAGAGCTTTGGTTTCATTTTCTAGCTTCGTCACATTTTCAAGTTTCATTTTTATGTCGCTCAACAGTGTCTGCAAAAAATTATAAAACATTAAATAATAAAATACATTTCTTTAACCCCCATTGTTTTTATATTTGTGCTCTCCTGGTATCACTTGTTTACAACATACATATTAATAAGCTCTGCTGCAACTTTTAGATCAGCATGACCCTCAAACTTGTGCCGAGAACAAACATGAACGTTGCTCTGCTGTAATTATCTAAAGGCATTTGAATGAGAACATTCAGCAGAAACCACCTAATCTGTGCCACTGTGCACTTTCAGCTCATTTAAGCTTCCTGTCACGTTCGGGTCAAATCTGACTGATTTACAACTTAAAACACTCATAAATATTGTGTTTCACATCTGATTGCCTCAAGGTCTTAGCATGTCCTCCACACTATGCACTTGAACATATAAAAGTGATGAATTTGTTGAATTGTGAGTGTTTTAATCAACCTTGTGACATGTGTTTGGTGTTCCTGTTCAAAAGTGTCCGCCATAGGAAATGAATGGGAACCCACTCACTCACTGAACAACCGACTGAACTGAATTTGGTGGTGAAAAATGTTTGTTATGCTAATTTAAGAGCTGTTAAAACAGACCCCAGGTACACTAAAGTAAGGGGGTGGGAGGTAAACGCAACAGGAGGGATAGGTTAAGAGTTATTGTTTGCTCTCAGCTCTGTTCTCCAGATTTGGTTCCCTGAAAATTCAACTTCTTCCCCAAAATAAAACCATTATTTTGATGGGAGTAATTTAAAGGTAGAACCAGTGTGGAAGTGTCCAGAAGTGCAGAAGGAGATGACCGTGAAATGCATAGTGGCCACATTAATCAGGTATTGTTTTTGCTTTCTGTGGGCAGAGTTGGATAACCTTTCACGAATCAAGAGGAGCGTCAGTTTTCATCAGCATTTGTCCGGGAGGGAGACAGGCCAAGGACGAGCCCCTCAACCCCGGACCTGGGCCCGCTGAAGGTTGCCAGGGATTAGTAGATGCAAGTGGACTTGGATCTGAGGCTAATTTTTCCGACAGAGATTGTAACAACTACTCTGCGACCAGACCTCGTCCTTTGGTCTAACTCCACAAAACTTGCGTATGTCATTAAGTTGACGGTACCATGTGAGGAAGCGTTGAGGAGGGATTTGAGCGTAAGAAGCTGCGGTATGCCAACTTGGCAGCTGAGGCAGAGGACAGAGGCTGGAAGATCAAGGTATGCCCGGTGGAAGTGGGGTGCAGGGGCTTTGTTGTCCTGCTCTAAGTAGTTTTACAACAGCAAAACTGCTGAGAGAAACTGGGATCAGAGGACAGGCACAACGGCAGGCTAAAAGAGAATTGGCTAACACTGCTGAGAGGACCAGTCACTGGCTATGGTTAAAAAGGGCTGACATCACTTGGGCAGCTAAGGCAGTCAGCTAACCGCAATACACATGCCCAGGATTGATCAACCCGTGGTGGGCCTGCCTCAACAGGGGGCGCCAAAAGGGTAAAACATAACATTAGAAGTTTTGCTGGTTGACTGATACAGCTGTCTCAGGGCCTCCTGGGGACTGTGCAGTTAATCTCATGGTAGTGAAACTAAAAGGAGGAATGAAAGAATAGGAAAGAAAAGTGTTCCGCTCTTCTCCCCTCTGCTCTTCTTCCCTTTTCTGGGAGGCAGTGGGGAGGTAGAGTGTACAGCCCGATCCGGCAGGGAGGTGTGGGAGCCAGATCGGGCGCCCCCCTTCCTGCTCTCTTCTCTGCTCTCTCCTATCTTATCTTACTTACTTGCCTTACTTCTCTCTATCACCTTTTCTGTTCCTTTGAAGAAATTAGGCTCCATAAATGTTAAACAGGTAAGTATTTCTTAGTTGCAGTGAATAGATAGAATAAACTGTAGAAAACTAAAAGAAGAAGAGAAAAACTATTTTAACATAAACCAGTGACACGCTCTGGGGCCTGATCAACCCTGGCAGGGCCTCCTTGGATGAGGGCGTCTAGTGATAATAGCCGAAACACCCGATGAATCCAAGGTCCACTACTGATGATCAATGTTCCCTCTAAGCTGCGCGCGTGCGCAATTGCGCACTGCTGGCACGGTCTCTGCACACAAAAAATCTAACCTGAATTGAAATTAAAATTAAAACTTTAACAATTCTGTTTTGCAGTGTTAGTCAGTGAGTGACTGGCTGCTCCAGTATGGGATTAGAACGATGCCACCTTATCCCATAGTCCAGCCAATGATGCGATTGACATTCGTATACAGGCAGAGCAATGAGGCGACTGCTGAATGTTACAGGTGATACAGGAGTGATACATCTCCTGTTGTCAGGCCTGCAGGTATCAGGCTGTTGTTCTCCTTTATCTCATAGTGGACAGAAATTATTTGTTGGAGTGGCACAAATGATTTGTGTGGCATTAAATTTGATGCAGAACAGCTGATTGTTCTGTAAATATTGTGAAATGTTTGTTTAGAAAACGCCTTGGCTGCATTTTAAGTAAACAGCTGCAAAAACCTTTGTTCACAAAACTCAGTAACTTTTTTGAAAAAGTAACTATAAAATGAATTGCCCAGCATTGGTCGTTTTATTCTGTATTTTGCAGACAGAGTTACAGGACTCTCTCCCAGACCACAGACTCAGACTCATAGTACAAGTCAGAGCTTTATATTTTTATATATATGTAAAAGAAAGTTGTATTTTCAAAATTGGAGTTCAAGTTATTTTTACTTCCAATAGTGTTAACATACTACACAGGTCATGAACAAGACTTTTTAAAATTTTCATTGTAAGTGGGCTAAAGCACTTAATTAAAAGTATTCTAACATAAATGTAAATGCTGTAATTTGATTATTTTAATTAACCATGTAACTTGAATGGATTCGATGCTGGCGTGACCACAGTGCACACGTCTGCTGTTGCTCACAGTGGTCCAAGGGACCGCTCAGGGTGTTTGTGCGTTCGCTCAGACACATGAAAAATTAGAGGGAACATTGCTGACGTTGTGTCCCAAATTTTAATATGAGAATTTAGATCAGATCTCTAATCCCTAAACCTAACCAAGGAAAAATGGCAGATTAGCTTGGGTAAAACAACAAAAGTTGAGGCACACAACGATGTGTGCCGCTGGTAAAGTTTCTGGGATACTTTTCCTCATAAGAGCCATCCCCCAAGATTTTCTCCATTTAAAGCAATGCATTGTCAGGGACTGTAACATCTAGTCCTTTACTGAATCAGAATTGATTACACTTCATGTGACCGGTTTACAGAAAAGTAGTACCAGAACTTTCTTGCCTGTTTCATGAACCCACCTCAAGTGGATCGATCTGGTTCTCTATGTGCAGGATCAGATCTTGTGAGGCCCTCAGATCAGCCTGTTTTTGGGCTACATTGCCTCTAAGCTGCTGGGCCTTCTCCTTGTTTTTCTCCAGGTAGAACAGCTCTGCCTGACACTGTTCGACTCTCCGACTTTGCTTCAAACGCAGCTCATGCATCTTTGCCCTCGCTTTGTTATACCTGTAAGAAAGACAGGACATTCTTTACTTTGTAATATAGGAGCGTACTGGTCAATATTTTTTTAAATCTTTAGTTGGGTTTGAAGTGATTTAATGTGAAAAAAGACACAAATAAGTGTTGGATTTACTTGGTTACATTGAAGATGGAGTCAAACTTTTCTTTGAGAACTCTGTCTTCACTAAGTGGCCAGTTAGACTCTTCCTGGTGACAGAAGATGACGTCGTTCAACACTGACTTTGATACACCCAGCGCAGAAGTTATCTCCTGGTGCAGGTCGCCACACTTAACAGACCTGCTCACCCTCCTTCCATCCCTAGAAGAACATGAAGACAGGCACCATATCACCTCAATCCAAATTATACATTTTTAAACATCAGTTAAAACAACTCAGGTTCTTACTTTGTTCTTTTAATGTTCTGCTCTTCACTTTTAAAGGAGTATTTATTTTCTATCAGAGAGCAGGACACGAAGCGTTGGATCTCAATTTCCTCTCCCTTGATGTCTGAGAGTGAGAGCTCAATCTGGGCTCGTACAACTGTCCTCTGGACGTCCTGCAACATTTATAAAAATGATAAGATTTGTAACTACAGAGGGTGGAGTTTTACTGACATCAGTGACAATAGATGAAAAACAGAATCTAGGGTAGGGTGGGTTGCAAATCGGCTTGCAGACTCAGCAACTGTAGACAGGCTAAAATAAGTCAAGTACAACACCAAATCTCAGATTTTCCGATATGATGTGCCCACACTACAAAATCTACATTCATTATATTGATAAAGATTTTGCCTACAGGTACAAAAGAGGCAGGAGTCTCATGTTCTCAGTCTAACATTTGATTATGGTTTTTTAGATGAACACATTTCTGACAAGACTTTTGTGCTCTTTGGATCTAGTATGAACAACTGAAGCCATAAGGCCGGTAGCTTTGGGAATACATTCAACTTAAGTCAGCATTTTAAAAATAAATATATCTTTTCTATGGTGTCGATATATATATATATAAACCACGTGTTAATTCTGTTGTATTCAAATACTAAAATGTGGTCAACACTTGGAGGTTTGCCTTTCAGTACACAATTTAGGAACCAATGCGTTAAAACAAATAAGTAAGTCATGATGTAAACTGGCCCATCCAACCTCATAATTGCTGTAAAAAAATTCTTTGTACTCTTTGTTTAAGGACATTTTTAAATTCAGAGTCTAATCAGCTAAAAGGAGAGAACTGAAGACAAACCTTTGGATCATGAACAAAAGCACTTCCTTTAGATCCAGGTGGAAGTTCTCCTGAAGTCGCAAACTTGAGACATTCAATAATCGTCTAAAAAAATGAAACAGGAAACACAAGTCCCGGTGCACATGCATAAAAACACAAACAACACTAATCATTTAAAAAAATTAAATATTAAAATCTAAATGATGTATTGTTTGACTTCACAGTCAACTTTTGATCTCATCTGAATGTCCTCATACTGTTTTTCCTGCTCCGTTGGGTCCAACCAGCACAGTCACAGGAGTGAAGAAAGAGATGACCTGTTTGTCTTTGTCTTCAATCCCGAAGCTCCTCACCCCCAGAATGCTCATCTCATTTATCTTTGACATTTTGGCTTTCTGAAAAGAGGAAAACGAACTGAAAGCTGAAGGATTTTGATCAGCAGTGAGACTTTAAATATCAGTGATTTATGAGCATGATTGCTCTTGCTGTATGTTGCCTCTGATGAGCAGCTATTATTGCAGTAAACAGCGTCAGATGCTCTGATGAATGTAGCATTTACTTTTCTTGATTTCCATACCAATCTATGTTACCAAATCTCTTAGTGTATAATAGCATGTATCACACAGCTGTGTGCTAAAAAGTGAACAAAACTTTCAGCTGTAGTGGCATCAAAAGACTGCAGCAGGAACAGAAAACTCATTTTTGGGAACGCCCACTAAGTAACATAGAAAACAATCAGTTTGTACACAGAGCAGCTCTTTTCCCCACTGTGTCAGAATTTTCTGTTGTCTCTGATGCTCGCTCTGTTCTGTCTCAAAATGGGGCTTTTGTTGTTTAACCCTGCCTTGGACTTGTCATGTGATCACATAGAAATTCCAACACAGAGAACACAGGATACCGACACATGACACCGCAGATAGAAATAGATATTTTTTAACCCTTTCATGCAGGAATTATGACAACCTCAATCAGGATTTTTTTTTCTTAAGTATTTTTATTCATCTTTAGGCATGACAAAAAGATTTCTGAACTATGTGCATGCAGCATGTGTATTTTGAACTTCATTTTTTTAAACATGTACTTTTTTTAAACGCGTTTTTTTTTTTTTTTAAATGGCAGGGTATGGAGTGACACATCAGTGTCCAATGTAGTGGTTTAAGTGCAAGTATACCATCAACACTGACACAAATACAAGAAAACAGCCTTTGAATAGCTGTCAACTGTAGTGACCACTATGCGTAAAAGGGTTAATCTAGCTAAATGTTTCTTAGCTGAAAGTTGGACATCCGATCATTTAAAGTTAACAAATTTAAGGAAAATCTGATGAGTGGTAATACAGACTGAAAATGGTGACACTTATTTACATGCAGTAGCATTGTGATTAAAATATGCAGTCAGCATTTTGTAGCCCTGATTTGCAGTTATTACACAGAAAATATCACAAATGTATCCAGTTACCTTTTTTTCTTTTAGTATTGCTGTAACTTTAAAAGAAATGCTGCGTTGTGCTTTTACTTTGGTAATCATGTGCTAATCAGTAATACCTCTTCTGCTGTTGTTAAACTGAGTGGAGCGGTAGTAAATCTAAAGGTCATAGGGGATGATTCATACACAGTGCTTAACAAATTTACCACTCAGTGTAAAGTTTATGCCTTGGTTGCCCTAAATTAACAGCTCTGGTAATTAATTACCTAAATATTTTCTTATGTTTCTTATGGTTAATCCACCAGCATGCATAAGCTCTTGATCTAAATGTTATTTTTAACTCTAACATATAATTATTGTAAGCCATGAATTTTCAAATATATTGTTTTGACAAAATTCTGAAATCATTAGTAAAACACATTATTATCATGATTTTTTTGATTAAGACGTCAAATCACAGATATGTACTTAGATTCCTGAACAGAAAAAAAAAGTTTTACTGGTTTAATTATATATTTGATTCATTTCTGACTTTACCTTCTCATCAAAACGTTAATATGCCACACACTGTCACATTTGTGGAGAACATATAGACTAACTTTTTTCCCTCACATCTGTAGTTCAGAGCTTATGTTTTTGTTTTTGTTTTTGATCTCAACCATTCATAAATTCACGAAATAAAAGCAAAGATGTTTTAGCAGCAAAGGGAAGTTAAAGTATAGAAAGTAAAAGCACAGGTGAAACTTAAATATGCAACGGAATAGTTATTATTCTTGCATTCATGTATATTTTAATGTCCTTCTTCATCTTTAAGTGATTGAGTTGGAAACAGGATATCTTAAACTATTTGGGAAAATGTTTTTAGAAGTGCCTTCAGCTTTGAGATGAATAGGAACTCAGAGATGAGTGCCATGAATGCAAATACCAGACAGTGTCTGACATAACAGGAGAACTTCAACACTGAAATAAATAGATAAGTTTAGATTAGGCGTCGTTATTGTTTAGCAATAAATCAATAAACTGAAAAAGAAAACAAACAACAGCAAGTTTGATCCAAACACAGCAGAGCTCAGAGGATGGCAGATGTTCCAGTGGAAATAATGACACTGTGGGTTGGTTTGTGCAGATCTTTCAGACTCTGGCAGCTTGCAGGCTGCAGGTTTTCTGGTGTCATGGTTGGGATTTGAAGTGTTGGTGAAGCAGGTTTGTGTGAGTTACAGCTGTATACAGTGCTGATAGTGATTCAAAGGTAATCATTTGACTTTAGGTCCCAGTCTTTGTGACTGAAGCCAACACTGATTCATAGAAACTGTGCACTATTATCAGCTCCCTTCTATTTGGTTTCACTTTTGGTTTGTAACACAGAGAAAAAAAAACCTCATGCTCCCTTAATGCAAAAGTAAACTGGAGAAAAATAATCACCTGGTGAGCAGTTATGGAAAAGTCTTCAACCCTCAGGATGATAACAAAAACACATATACCTTAACATATCGTATATATTATGGTGTACCTCCATAAAGCAATCAAGTTTACATAAGCAAATCTGAAATCTGAAACTTTGCCCTACAGTCACACAGGAAAAAACATTTTTCTGGTCCTTAGTTTCTGTGTAGTTAACAGTCTCATGCATCACTTACCGTCTATATAAACTGTCTACACAATCCTACTGGCTTCTACAAAACAGTCAGTTGAAATAATCCAATTAATCAAAAAATCATGGTCCTCCGGTCTCCTAGCTCATATTCTCCTCTCTCGCTCTCTCTCTCTCTGTTTCTCTACCCCTCTCTATCTGTTGTCACTAGCCACACCTTGCTTTGTAAAGGCGTGTCTCAGCCTATTTGCACCTGGGTCGATTACCACACCTATGAGAGATTTGGTCATCAGACAGATCCCATTTAAGCCACAAGAAGACATTCATTCATTGCTGGATTGTAGACTAAGCTAGTTAGTAAAGTTGGCTCGCCAACATATGAACATTTTTCTCCATCACCTGTGTGTTCCCTGATACTTAGCTTCTGCTCCTGTCTGTGCAGGAATCCCAGGCTAAGTGTTCACACTGGGTTTTGGACTTGTTTCTGGTGTTTCTTCTGACCAAGCCCATGACGAAAATTGGAGCCTTCAGCCACCTCAGAACCCAGTCGCAAAGACTGTTGCTTTGCTGTGTGATCATGTGTCACTGTAAATAAACACACTGTACTGAAATCTGCATTTTGAGTACTTCCGACCACTAACCATGACAAAAATCATCGGGATTTGACAGACGAATAAAAGAAAGAATTCAAACTCATACTTAGAGAAGTCATTCACATGAATATCGCCTCTCTGTCCAGCAGCTCACGTGTATCTCATGTAATGTTCTGTTTCTATATCCCTCCCAGTAAAACATTTAATTTCATCAGTAGTTAATCGCTCTCCTGTCACAGTTCTGTTTGTTTAAACACACCTCTCTGTAATTTGAAACGATGCCAGAAAGTGGTTAAAGTCAGAGGTCAAAGTTCAACCACTGCTAATGGATTTTATTTACCGCCACGGATCTTGCTTATGCTCTCAGGGGCTGACCCACCTTCTCTCTAATCCAGCCACAATTTGTGTCCAAATCATGGTGTTGGGTCTGTGTTTCCACAAGCCCCGCTAATTCTAGAGACTTATTCATCATGAAGAAAACAAGACAGTCGATCGATCGATTATTTGCGCAAGGGAGGCCTCGTCTGTGTCCACCACGAAAATGACCCCGACGACGACCTCCCTTGCTGCCCTTTTCACACAAAACACGTCAGAACAAAGCCACGCCCACATGGTCCTAAGACAAGGCATTTGTATGTATATGTGTGTGTGTGTGTCAGACCTCCTGCTGACCAAAGGGTCGTAAACGCAGGAAGCTTACATCAAAAGAAGCAGATCTTCCAGATAGGATGTATCTGCAATAAAACATTACAGCCCCCCCATCCAGAACCTCGAGAATCTGGGGGGAAGGACAGTGGAATTTCTTTCATCAGAGTTGGCAAGCATAGAAATGATAACATTTAACAATTCACTCTAATACATGGAAAAACATGTTTGTTTTAATGTTCAACTTTCTATGAATCAAGTTCACACAGACGTTATTATCCTCTTATTCAGCAAAACGTCCTCAGTTTGTTGAAATAGTCGACACCATGTGAGAACAATAAATGTATCACTTTATGTTGTAACCCACAAGTTGAACGGTAATGAAACGACTCTCAAAGTAAAACGTCACTGCTTCCACATCCAGTTGGTTGGACTGTGAAGGCGGAGTCAACTGGACCCACTCTCACTGCCCAGTGCGCGCTCCCGAGCAAAGGGGTCAAATGACAGCTGCACATCAGAATCAGAAACTTTAAACTGCATACATTTAAACATTTAAGGCTACTGTGCCAGTCTAATAAAAGATCTCTTAGCTTGTATGCAGATCAAACTGAATTAATTTGACTGATTGAAGAACTATTCTGCAGTTCCTGCAGCTACCAGAGTTTTCCTAGTTTTACAGCTTCCTGACTGTTTAAACAGGGGCGGATCTAGAGAAATTAGGGTGGCAACGGAATCAAATGAGGTGGAAAAATCAAAGGCTTTTTTTTTTCAAACACATATACAGGTGGTTACATATGGTTAAAATTATTCAAATTCAGTAAGTATACACGTTTGTCATATAAATATAATCTTAATTATTAATAAACGTAATTATTTTCTGTAGCCCACATAATTAAACACTTTAGTTACATAAAACATGCGAATTTTGATACTATGTACTGTAGCCTGTATATAAATAAATATGTAGCCCACTAAGTATACAATCCAGAAAGCTACACAACGTGGGGCGGTTCATTTACAAACACAAGTCTAACTTAAGTGTCACACTTTTTTGTTAGAAAAAAAAAATCGAATTGTTACACGATTAAATTACACAAAATGTCAGAAATCTGCACTGTCATGAACAAAAATTTAAACCAAATTTTTCATGATTTGTTGGATTAACCCACTGAGGTCTAAAATATAACCGTCCATGTTTGACTCCTTTTGATTTCACATTTGTATTTCACCTTTAAATTTTTTCATTTTATTTTTTTGTCTTGCCTTGCTTGGTATCATTCTTTTCAGCTCAACCTCACGAGTTTACAGTTGTTTTTTCATTGACATACTGTATTAACACAACTCATCTGAAATCACACAAAAAACATAAAATCCTAGTCATAGCTTTTTTTACTGTACAAATCACAGACATGTTGAGTAAATTATTTTATAAGTTGAAATGTAAATATAAATGTACATTTTGAAAACGTATGCACACATTTTGCAAACATGTACAACTATTTATCTAAAAATGCAGCCAGTACACCTGCCGTTTTTTAATTTTGTGCAACCAATTAAAAAAACTACTATAACTAAAATGAGAGAACAATCAGGTGTTGCAATAAGATGCCCCACAAATTATTTGTTCCAGTAAAAAAAAAAAATGTTTGTCCGCCACAAGACAAAGGAGAACACCACAGGGATAAACCTGCAGGCCTAACAACAGGAGGTGTATCACTCCTCTTTTCCACCTAGAGACGGTGTTTACATTGTAATCTGCATTTGTGACAGTCATTAGTGCCCTCATTGACACAAAAACAACATAAAAGACTAACTACACAACGCACACTATGCACTCCAAGCTAAACGTCACAAATCTCGCCCATCTCAAAACTCGCTATCTCTCTCTCTGTCACTCGCTTGCTCTGTCTCTCTGCCCCCTCTTCCTAAACAACCAAATCCCACGTGTTGACTTTTAAAAAATTGGTCGACATGGTACATTTTACTTTACTGTTTTCACGCTGACCTTAGAAAATGCTTTTAAAACAAACAACAACAAAAAAACTGTGACAATAGTATTTAGAAAAAAGCATGGCTTATATATATTTTTATCATAACTCTGGATTTAGTGGCCTGTCATTAGCTCTGTTCTGGTGGCTAAGCTGTCATCCCTGTTGGACAACATCTCCCACCCCATGCATGAGACTGTGACAGCACTGAGCAGCTCCTTCAGTGGGAGACTGCGGCACCCACGGTGTGGGACGGAGAGATTTCGCAGGTCTTTCCTCCCCACTGCTGTCAGACTCCACAATAAAGACTTTTGCAGCTGATCAAACACACAAACCCACACATGTGCAATAAGACTGCTATATGTGCAATTCTTGTACAATTCTTCTTCTGACGAAGTTGTATTTTTGTATTTTCCTACTCAGTTGTATATAGTATTTGTATTTGTATTTTATTGCATTCCAGTGTTTTCTAATTTCTGCTATATAACTTTGCACTTTTGCTGTAACAAAACAAATTTCCCACCTGTGGGACTAATAAAGGTCATGTTATCTTATCTTATTAAAATGTAAAAACCAGTGTATACTTTGAAGTCCAAACCTTCAACACTGACTGAGAAGAAGATGGTATACTTTATTGGTCCCCGTGGGGAAAATCCCTCTCTGCATTTAACCCATTCACTCAGTGAAGCAGTGGGCAGCCACTGGGCGCCCGGGGAGCAGTGTGTAGGGACGGTACCTTGCTCAGGGGTACCTCAGGGTAGCTGTTCAGTGGATTCAAACCCCCGACCTTCCGATCATGGGGCCACCACTCTACCTACTGAGCTATCCCTGCCCTTTCTGCAGCAGTTGCAGCTTAAATCAGTCATGTGATTTGGAGGTGGTGTCTGTGGACCCCAGAGGGTTAATAACACTCACCTTCATTCCATTTCCAGAGTGCAACAACCAGCCACCTGTGTGAACTCTGAAACTCCCATGGTGTTGTTCAAAATGTGCTCTGGCACAATCATAGGCATCGCTTGCTCCAAAGAAGCCGGTCTGCACTATGGTCTCAACCATTTGTTATTGGTGGACTGGGGGAACACTATGCAATATATTCAATTTTAGCATTTATATTCACTGTTAACTGTAACTATGCTAAAAGTGTTAATGCTATCTTATTTTAATAAACAACACTGTCATATGCAAAATTAGGGTGGCACTTGGGGTGGCAAGAGATCATTTTAGGGTGGCACATGCCCCTCTATGCCACCCTTTTAGATGTGCCCCTGTATTTAAAAGGCAATTTTTACATAATTTTTTAACCAGACGGGTTTGAAACATGGTGATTTATGGCCTAGTTTTTCATACAATGGCGGCATCTAGTGAATCCTACAAGTACTTCCTACTTCCCAATCAAGCAAAGTGAAAGGAAAAACAGCAGCCGGCATTTTTTTTGGTTTCTTTTTTAACTATTCACGGCTAATGGAGGAACGATCCTAAAAGATGTGGTCTCTGTGATGTTTGGACACACTGAACTAGTACCATACTGGTAAGATTCATGATGAAGAGGCGGACAGTTTTTAAGCTTTACTTTTCGGCTGTTTCTCTGATTCATGAGTAAAGAAAGCACACAGCCCTACCCTCTGGTTCCCATAAACTGCCTCCCCTCTATGGACTAAAACTCTAATGTTATATAACTTAGTGAAGTATTCAGAATCTAGACTTTTAATCTCCAGTGTTTCACCTTCCTGTTATTTTTGCACTAGATATCTGAAGGAATGGAAATGAATTGTAGATAAATTGTGGCAAAGTGGGTCACTGGGTCCTAGTCCTATGTCCTTGTGTTTAGTATCTCTTTTCTGTCATGTGCCTCCATGTTTGTTCCTTTCCTTGTTTCAAGGGTGAAGTGTTTTCACTTCTCTCGTCGCCCTTCTGTATATATTCTGTCTGGTTTCCCTTTGTCCCTT